AAAAAAAAAAAAAAAAAAAAAAAAAGAGAGAGAGAGAGAGATTGTCATGGTGCACTGTGCAAATACAATCAAAACACATTAGAGAAGACATAGGTTTGAATTCAGACTCAGCCTCCTAATTACTGTGTCAGTTTGGGAAAATCACTCCACATTAATCCTCAAAAGTTTTAAAGCCACTTATTGGGATAATATTACTTCCTTCATATCATTGATTCAAAGATTCAGGATATCATGGGAGGTGCCAAAATAGTGAAGGAAATGAGGAGAACCTGAAAAACTGGTAACTTCTATTAGTATTCTTTGTATTGTAGGTGTATTGTAGGACGTGGCAGTAATTCCGGAGGCACTGAGGATGTGAAAAATTCCTGTTCTCAAGGCAGAGGGAAGGTTTCATTTGAAATGCTGGAGTCAGCAGTGAGCAGGGTGGATTCCATCCCTAACACTGCAGCTGTGGTCCACTTCGACTTTATTTAAATGACTAAGGGCTACTTGCTGTCACGTGTTATCACCACTCAGTGAAGGTATACAGAACTAACAGGCGTACATCCATTCTGTGGTACTGCTCAACTGCTCCCACTCGAATACAACTATCTAAGGTTATTTGGCAACATATACTTCCTATGAAAAGAAAAATCAAATCTGAATAGAGAAAAAGACTTGAATTAAATGACTTTCTACAGGTAACGACATATATGTCATGAACGGTGGTGTCTGGTTATCGATAAAGTCTGAACATGGTTAAAAATGCAGTGTGTGCGACAGTGTTGAATTGTGTCTTTTTTCAAGTAATAAATATGTACAAAATAATCATTCCTCATATGTGAATACAGTTATTAGTGACATATAAAACTAGTATTCAAATACATCCACCCTATATTGGATAATTTAACTAGACTTGTATGATGAATAATTAGACCTGGCTCAGGAAGTTAGCATTTTAAGTTGAAATTTAGTTTATTTCTCCATGAAAGTGGCAAGCATATAATTTACCAAATTATCTATGAAAATATTAAATTCTATATATGAGAAAATGGTACTGGAATATTTAAACCTTCAATTCTCTATTTTGAAAATGGCGAACCACTTAATTCTTAAGGGTTGCATAAGATTGGATTCAAGACATATGTGAACCCGGACAATTTTCATGGTTGTTTTCAATTTGCATGATTAAAAAGTTTGTTGGAAAAAGCAGTGAATTAAAGTTTTATTCTGAGATGAAGATTTGTAGGTAATGTCAATCCACTTATCCTTCTGGAAAACACTCAGAGAATGTGGCTTTAGCAGTATAATTGAGTGCTTCCATAATAAGAATCAAGTAATTGGAAAATTAAATTTATATCATTTGCTGACTCTAAAAAGCAGATTGTAATAATAATTGAAAACTTAGTTCATATGAATTAAAATTTAAGGTTAAACTTAAGCTGTTATCAGGTATTGAAGTCTTAAAAAAGGTGTTAAATGGTGTTACAGGGTCATTATTATGTGTTTCTAAATTGCTGTGTGCTTTCCAAGCAATTACTAGGTGTAAGAGTTAATCTGATACAGCAACCAACATTTCCATTTTCTGAAAATTGCCGAATCTATCTATTGATGCATAAATGAGAAAAAAGAACTCATAGAAACTTTTGAAGAGACTATTATGTATTCTGCCTGGCAAATTCTTACACTTCTGAGTCTTTATAAATAATTACTATGTAGCTAAGATATCAAATTTTCATATCAACGCTCATGAAACTCACAAATCTGTGGAATTCCATAGTTATTTAGTTAGACACCCTTGATGCCTGAAGAGCCCATTGGATCTAGTATAACGTGTCCAAAGGAGTTGTAGCCCTCTTTGCAAATCCCTTTCCTCTCTGATGAAATGTGGAATGGAACAAGATTTTCGGTTTAATAAATCTCAATTTTAATTAAAATCCCATACCACCTCTTTGACACTTTTGATATTTTAATTTATACCTTCTTTTTTAATACAGATATTTCATTTCAATCTTTCTCAACCTGCTCACTTTTAAACTTATATGAGAGATAGTTATTGGGTAAGAGTGAAAGATCATTTGAAACTGATGAAAACCATATGAATGACTTGAATAAAACTCCTAATAATGAGACTGCCACTGAGTTAAATTAATCTGGTAAGTGAACTAATTGGAATTTTGTTACCACTGTCCTTACTAGGTAAGTGGATGACAGCAGATGTAATGTTATTAGAGTTTTCTATGTCTGCTGAGTTCTTAGTAAGATGCTTCAAAACCCCAATGTGGAGTGTTTATGTCTCAAACTAGCCAACATATTTGACACTCACTTTCTGAAAATTCCCTTTAGTTATATAGATAGCTCCCTCTTTGCCCTCTCTCCAGTTTCTCTTTCTCCTCAAGAACAATAACCAAAGGATAATTTTATCATCTGCTGATTTCCTTTTACCTTTGTTTCAAACCTTACCTGTAGAAATCACAGATCATATATGCTTCCAAATATCTATCCTCCATGCGAAGTATTCTGGAACCACTCATAGAAGACGATGAACATAAATATTTTATTCCATTGTTGAATTAGTTTGAACAGGTCCTGATATTGCTGACTATGTTTTTCCAATTGCAATAGTTAGGAGGTAAATTCTGAAGTCAGCATATTGGATTTAATTTGTAGTACTATCATTTAGTTAAATTCCTTAACTTCTTATCCTGTTTCTTCACCAGTGAAATTGGGAGAACAGTGCTGACCTTGTACAGTTGTCACAGGATTAATTGTAAAGTTTTACATTCCGATTACTATTTCCAGTCCACAGTAGCTACGCATGTTTTTCTCTTACAAAATCATTGAAAGGCATAAGTGGAAAACATGCAGCCAAATTCTTATCACAATTCACGGCACATAGTATTGAGCAAAATGTTTTGTTACTACAGCTAGAGATAACATTTTCTATGTGTACAATATCTATTTAATAAATGTAGTGATTAACTATAACAAATAATCATTATTTATGAGTGTCTAAAATATCTTATAAATAATTTTAAAGTACATAGTTTATTATTGACTACTCTAGAAACAAACCTTTCTTCTAGTAGGTTCACACTTCAAACCAAAGCATTAGTGCTGTATTAATTTAATAGACAAATATGAAATATATAGGAGAACTACATGCCCTCCATTTAGCAACAATGTATCAGCCATATAGTTCCGTGGAAGGGTCCACGCCAGGTGCTGGCTACCCAAACACTAGCACCAACATCAACCCAAGAGAGAAGGAAAAACATGATATTAATCTAAATCAAAATATTTAACTTAGAAATGCACAGGTAGGTTTTGATATATTATGGGGAAAGATGAAGGCATATCGAGCACCCAAAGAACATTCTAATCAGAAGTAAGAGAACAATGTAAGTGCTGTAAAGACAACTTCTAACAAAATACTTTGGCTGGGATCCTACTCAGTTCTTAGTTCAGCTTTTGAAGCAGTGACCTGAAAATAATTCCTCAAGGCCCTGGCTTATTAAAATGATTTGCTATTACAGCAGTAACGCAATCTCACTCAAGATAGCATCTGAAAGACTTGGTGTAATCTTCTACCTCTTGCTTCCAACTCTAAGATTTTTAATTTTTTAAAAATACACTCCTCTGTTCTCCAGGCTAAGTTCATATCCCCTCGGCTGAAAGCCAATTTTTAATTGAATTCGGTTAGTTTAATTGCCCCTCCAAGATGGCCATAAAACATCCTCTCCCAGCTTTCCTAGCAGAAGGGCCATTGTCCCTGCTCAGCATTCCCAAGCACACAGCAAAACTGCCATCGAGCTGCATGTCACTCAGCAATGACTGTTTAATGTGGTCATCTCCTGTGCATTGGATTCCAATGATAATTTAGGATGAATTAAAATCTATTTAAATGGATAGCATGGTCTCTTAGTACCCGTGATGGAAATGCGTTTCAGGACACGCTTCCTCCTTAAGGTAGCACAATAAAAGTGAGTGTCATGCTTGCCATTCTTCATTTTATATCATGAATTTTATTTCTCTTGGTAATGTAATCTTTCATTGATTTTCATTAGCCGAAAGAAATGTGGTGATGTGTTTGTATTGCATACTCTGCATAGAAAAAGTACCTAATATTTGACACTTAAAAATAGGCACAATTTTCAGAAATCAATCCGAATTTCAGTATTAGCAGATTTTGCCATCAGGCCAATCTTGGAAGTGAATAAAGTTGTTTTCTGTTGTTCTGAAGGTTCACATTATTATGTTGCAACATAAAATCATTTGGCCTGAGTTCTAAGGTTACATTATTAACAGTAATTGATGAGTATCATAATTTACAGTTGATGAAATAGTCCCTTTCCACATATTTGATGAATTATATCAACTCCACAAAAAGCCATGAAATGGACATTGTAATTTCCATTTTATAGACCAGGGATTAGCAAACTATAGCCCCTAGGACAAATCCAGCTGGGGACCCCGTTTGTGTAGCTAAAACTGTATCGGGTCACAGTCATTACAATTTACATATGGTTGGTGACCACGCTGAGCTACTGGGGCAGAGCCAACTGATTCTAACAGACACTGTGCACACTAGAAAGCCTAAAATATTTGTTACTTGACCCTCTACCAAGTTTTTCAATCCTTGTTATGAATGACGGAAGTTAAGTTCTGCAAGTGTGAATAATATTCCATATTTATTTGCATACCTAAATGAGCACACATGTCCAATCTCACAAATGAAAACTCAGGCTTTGAACCCAAGCTCAAGATTATTTTCTATTCAATACCATGTAAGTATTAACACAACATCTGTGTCACTAATGAGAAGCCATATAATATATTTTTTATGTCCTATGAGTGCGTAGAAGCCATTGGCGTATAGGCCCATTTCATTACCTGACACGCACAAGAAAGGATGCAAGGGAAGAGGAGCAGAGGCATCGTGCAGAACTGTGGAGCGTGGAGACGCTCAGGACACAGCAGCGTACGTTTTGCAGTTTTGGATACAGAGCGAAGCAACTTTGGAAAAGCCAAGATTCAAGAACGAGATGCTCAGGGACAAGGGGTGGAGCAAGGGATGCAGGAGGAGCAGCACTGGCTGGGAACGCAGGCATCCCGCTCCGTTGGCGATGCGCCCCAGCGGCTCTGGTTCACAGGCACACTGCTAAGGGACGGTGATGGCCCCACTGCACTGAGACTTCGTTTTCTATTATTTCTTTCCTGAAAACGTACATGGATTTAATCTCTCAGTAAATTGCACTCAAGATAATGGTAGCATAGTCTGAAGATTATCTTTAACCGCTGTATCTTCCAAACAAATAGTTTGGCCTGGTTTGCAAAATACACATGATGATGATGATGTCCTTTATAATATACTTTGAAGTAGTATTTATATTTGCTAAAGAGAAACCCGATTGTTAAGCTTATTTTGCTGCTACCGTCCATTCTCTCATTCACATTCTAATTCTTTCGCATCGACTGTGCTCTTATTTATTGTCAAAAATTTATGATTGAAGAACCGGGGTTTTGGCTCAGTGGTTCCGCTGCCTGCCTCGCAAGTGCAAGGACCTGAGTTTGATCCCTGATATAAAATATATATTTATATAATTTAACATTAGAAGAATTTATTCTATTTAAAAATCTTCAAAATATAAAATGTAAGGGGCCGGGGATTTAGCTCAGTGGTTCCACTGCCTGCCTCTCAAGCACAAGGACCTGAGTTCAATCCCTAGTACCCAAAAAATAAAAAAATAAAATGAAGTTCCCTGTCATATATTTTAATTGTATAAACTAAAAGAATGAGGATAACACTCATTTTTACATAGAAAATTTGAAGTAAGATACTACATTTAATATCACCATGTTCGATCCCCGGTACCAAACAAAACAAAACAAAAAACCCAGAAAAACAGAATATAAAATGCAAACTTTAATTTTTATTTTTGAGGGTAGTTGGAAGGGAGCTATAAAATTAAGGAATGCTTTAAGTGGCTTTATTACATATACCATAATTTATGTTAGTAAGCGATAGTTCTAAAGAAAACGCACTAATAGGAAAGACTCTAAGTGTTTTAGAAAAACCACATTAGCATGAGATTGAAGGATATTATTCAAACAGCCTGAAATCTAATTTAAAATTCACGCTCCTCAGATTGGCGCCCTCCTTCAGCAGTACCCGCCCAGTACCGGATACATTCTGAGCGTGTTTCTAGGTCCCAGTCGCGACTTAAGCAGCGGGCTAGAAAAGTTCCGGATCTCTAGGTGGCTTTAAGGCCCCTGGTTCTGATAAACCCGCGCGGAGGGAGTTCACACAGTTATGGAGGAGCGGCCTCTCCGCTGTTGGAGAGACTCACTGACTAGTGACCGCAGAGCTACCTCCGATCGCCTTTGCAGGCCCAGCTTTCCTCTCCCCTCAGTTCTTGTGCGGCTCTCAGAACCATTCAGGAATGTGCTGGGAACGCAGCAGCCCGAGACAAGGCGGAAGAGCGAAGGGTCCAGCCCTTCCAAGGACAGAACGCCCTACACCATGTGCCCCTATATTAGGGTTTCCCATGGGACACTAAGTGGCTGCAGGGTCCCTCGGCGGCCACGAAGTACGAAGTACTTGCAAAGGAGAGCCCTCCCAGCCCTGGGCGGCTGTCCTAAACCCCCGGGACCACCTTGCCAACCTTAGGCTCCTACTTTTCCTAATGCATATCTCTGAGTGAAAAAGTGGCTTCACCATCAGTGAGTGCCCGGTCTCACCGGCCTTGTGCAAGCTGACTGATTCCAGTTTGTGGGGTTAGGAGGGATTTACAGCTCTCCCCGGAACTGGTTCCGGGCACAGTGAGCCTGCTTCACGGGGAGGAAGTAAGTCAATCATACATGCGAAGCCAGAGGTGTTTTCAATAGTATAAACATCAAGCGTCAAGCCACGAGTAGCGTGCTTACCGGCCCGTGGGACAGGAGAGTTTGTCCAAAGTCTTGAGCTGACGCAGCCCTGAGGTTATAGAGGAAGCAGTGTCCGGGCCTCCCAGGCCACTGCCCGGCTGCTGCTCTGCCCGCAGGTGTCTGGACACCTGAGACTCTGCGGATTGTACTAGGATGGGCCTTCACAGTGTCCGCTGTGACAGGTCTTTTCCATGCCATCTGCTGAGAAGATGTATGCAACAGAAAGAATAAACCAACAGAGCTCATATACCTTTGTTTTTCATTTTGAAAAAGAGCTAAGGCATCAAGATTCTTTTCCTACCCAAAGCCTTCCTTTACTCGATTGTTCAGCATTTGGACTCCAGCTCCTACACTTTAACCCTCAGTGTGTGATCTAAGGAACAGAGGTCAGTGGAGATGGCTGGTCAGGTCCCACCGTAGACCTGCAATTCAGAGTCTGATCTCTGTCAAGGTCTGCAGGACTCACAGGTACATAAGAAAGCACTGGTCTGTGCCATAAAAATTGGAAGTTATTTGTACATCATTCCATATGATATTTTATGAATTAAAAATTTTAAAGACAATGTTTTTCTGAACTATATTTTCTCCATGAATTAATCTCCTGTCAAGCACAGAATTTATTCCAGGCCTCTGTATGTCCCCATGGCTGAACATTTATTCTTGTTCATAAATCACTTTCAGACACCACCACCCCCTTTACATAACCTCATTATCAAAAACGGTTGGTACCAAAATATTTCAAATTTTGGGATATTTTAAAGTTTGGAAAACTGAATGTATTATAAATAATTAGCTATCCTGAGGACTGACCCAACTTCAAATACAAAATTCACTAATATTTTATGTACACAGCCCGATGGAAGTTTTATGCAATATTTTACCTACTTTTGTGTACAATACATTTCAGTGCAGAAATTTCCATGAGTGGTGTCATGTTAGGGCTCCAAGTTTGGTTTTGGAGCATTTCACATGTTGAATTTTTGTGATAGGGATGCTCAAGCTGTAATTCATAAACAATGACATTTAATATATAATATTTATCCATGATAGGGATCGTTATATAACTCTATCACAAAAACTATGTGTCTAGTAACATAGCTTCTGAGGCGCACCCAGAATCCGCTGCAATTTAACGCACTGGGTTTAGATGTAAAGTCTGAGCTAGAAGAACCCCTCTCCCACATTTGGCTTTTATGATGTTAATGTTGAATTTTTATAAAATTTCAAACCAACTATTTCATAAAATGCCCTTCAGTGAATTTGTGAATTACCATCTCATATGATATTTTATTACCGTGTCAATAAAATTTTTGGAAATAGTATTAAAGAGGTGACATGTCCTCAGTGTATGATGGCAGGAAGCACAAAATATCATTGTGTTTCATTGTTAATCATTTAAGATTGAGGCCCCCAACATAGTTCTCCATTTTTTAGGTATTGTTTTATGCTTTTATTAATAAATAATGTATTAATAAGAAATATTTGAAACTATGCAAGTATCCTATCCCTTAATAATAATTTAGTCAATGGTTTGAGCATCAACTGATGATTACTTTCTATACCAAATATTTTAGGGGCTTCTAAAAGGTGACCTCTAATTTATGGCTCTAATGAAAACCACCCTGAGTGAGCAATAAATTCATAAGCAGCTTTCATATTTAAAGTCTGAGTCTGACTATTAGCCCACAATGGTTTGCCTGAAGATCCGGAAGCTGGGGTGTGGGAAAGGTTATGGCAAAGGTCTCAGTGACCCGTGATGTTGTAACATCTTGGATGGCAAGACAACAGTGTGGCTAAGGGCAGCATGACTCTCACAGAAAACTCCTGTAGAGACAAAAATAACTCTGGGAAGAAACATGTTTTCCATGAATGTAGGAGCTATTCTTTCTGGGATGTTTTGTGCCCTTGTTGCTAGGAACCTACTCACTCCACTGTTCCCTTCATCCCCCTCATTCCTTCAAGAAGCTGTGTGTTTGATAGATAGGGCCAAGCTCCAGAAGACATTGTCTTCACCACATAAGAGTGTTGACTGTCCTGGATCCCCATTTAAGCAGCAAAGATCTTGTCATGTCGTCTGTTATCCTGTTGCCATACCCTTGGTCTGTCTAATCAGCCTCCAGTATTACTCCTAGATTTATCATTCATTATTCTTCAAGCTGTCTTCTGCTGTGTGTCATCACATCTTCAAGATTTGAGTACTTCCTTACTGTTGCACAGCAACAAGATATTCCAAGTGTGCCTCACAAGTTTCATTCTGGAATCTCTTATTTTTCCCACAATCCTCTTCTACTTGGGGACAGGTATTTAGTAGTCAAAGCATGAGCCTGGAACATGGGCGCTTCTAGTGAGGTATCGTTACTTTTTCAGTGAGCTGAGCTAGGAAGCTCTAAACTCAGGTTGACATTGCCAAATCCACTCTTTTAGCAGTTATAAAATATGAACAATAACTAATTAAAATTACCATACCAGGCAACAAATCACCAGAAACAGCTAAAATGAGTGTATGAGCACAGCAGAAATCCTTTTCCTCCATCTCTCATTCCTTTGCTCCTTTATTCCTTCTTTTTTTCTCTCTCTTTCCCCTTCCTCCCTCATCTCCCACTTCTTCCTTACTCCTTCTCCTCCTTTCTCTCTCTCTCTTCCCCTTTTTTTGGGGAGTTTGAATCATTAAGCATATAAATTTAAGATGCCAGGCACTTAGGATATATTTAGGCTTTTACACTATCACACAACCACCCACTGCTGGGTTCAATCAGCCAAGTAAATTAACAGAAGGAAAATTATGTACATTTCTATATAATTGTTGTATGTATAGAGAAATGTTTTCTATTACCAAGTCAGTTATGTGCAGTTATTTGACTTGTTTTAGCTCTTTCCTCTAAACCAAATAATAATAAACCAAATAATTAATAAAGTAATTTAAGACATGAGCACATTAGATTACTTTTTAATAGAATACTTAATATTTGAATTTAAATCTCTTATAAATGTGATACTTTTTCAAAAATGTATCTTAAATACAGTAAAAGTATATTAATATGTCCAAGGAAAATATGGCCAATCATTAGTAGAGCTCAGAATGCTGAAATAACTATTTAGCACCTGTAGAACTTCTGACGGAAGGTGAAAGAAGGTGTTTTGCTTTCTAGTCTAGTTTTCTATGTGTTTTCGAATCATAACTCATGGTTGAAGGTAAGAAATAATTTATAGGAGATGTACACTGTGACAAATGATAGTTTCACTTGTTTTGGAACCTCAAAATTTATTCTTTACTTTTGAAGAAAAAACAATCTTATAAACATCCATATTTTATAGACAAAACATGTGGCTATGAACTCCATTTGAATTTTTTATTGAGGCTAAGGCAGACTGACATGGAGTTTATAAAACAGAGAGAGTATAAAGCTTTTCTTTCCAAAGCAATGTTAGCTAGTGCTATCAAACTGTGCCACTCAGGCAGCAAATGATGCACTTGTTTCAGAAAAGGAGGAAAATCCATCAGGAAAGTCTGCGCATGCTCTGTGCCTTAGCAGGGCTTCTGGACTCAGGTAATGGAAGGAGAGGCAAGCTTGCTGTTATTCAGATTAGATGTTGTGTAACCAGAAAGGCAAGCCTAGCGTCTTAATCTATAATCGGCAAACTTTCTGAAAGGTTGAAGATTTAAGTTTGGGTTAGAGGTCAGGTGGAAAAAACCCTACCTGACAATGTATTATGTCATCTTTTCCAAATGACAACACTTCATAATATTAAAATTCTTCATGGCTTGTTGGCACAGCCAGACCAACCTCACCCAAAGGTAATTATTTCTCCCTGTCACTTTTCAGTGGAGAAGTCTGAGGCTCAGCCTGAGGTAGCCCTGGCCACACAGGTAATGAGTGCTAAGTGCAGATCTTAAATTTTGCTCACATCATTGTAAGTGCTTTTCCTCTTTTATCACGAGAGCTACCTTATGAAGCTGTATGTAAAAAGGATGCACTTCAGATATGTTTCAACAGCAGAATATTTAAAGAAACACAGTCTGAGAAATGGAAACCTTCTTTTAAATGGCGATGATAGAAAGGGGTAGAAAACGCTGAGTGAGGAGGCAGAAACCCGAGTTCAGGTTCCGAGAGCACCAATGAAGGATTGCATGAATAGCATTAATCTTCTCTACGGCTTCTCTAAGTGTCCTTTTGCTTATTGATGACCATAAATACTTGATGCATTTACATTTCAGAACCACTTGGTGATGCGGGAGTAATATATTATTATAGACATCATACCTGTATCTACCAGCATAGTCCTGAAAACATATTCCACATGGAAAGGATTTCACAGATTAGAGGCTACAGACTAGATCCTCTCTGTTCTTTTGAAAGTGTAGTAAGCACTGCTAAGTCGTAAATGGTGCTGGGAAAACTGACTATTTGTATATAGAAGATTGAGTCTAGACTTTTATCTTTTGCCCTGCATTAAACTAACATCAAAATAGATCAAAGATCTAAATGGTAAAACAGAAGCACAATTTTTGGGGAAGATAAAATAGGTAAAATTCTCGAAGACAAAGGCATAAGCAAGGATTTTCTGAACTGAACCCCAACTGCACAAGAAATAGCACCAAGAATCAACAAATGGGATCATGTCAAATTAAAAGCACAGCAAAGGAAACAACTAACAGAGTAATGAGACATCTGCAGAATGGAAAATAAAATTTCCAGTTGTGCCTTGGACAGAACAAAAATATCTAGCATATATAAAGAACTCAAAGCATCAAAGCCACGAAGATCTTCTTTGATAGGTAAATAGACAAATGGTGCTGCATCTAAGCAATAGACATGTTCAGCCCTCAAAGGAAACAAACTGCTAAACTGTGGACGGATGTGGATGATGGGCAGCAAGCAAGATGGCACCTGAGGAAGATTCTGTGGTGATTTCCCCCAGACACACGAAGTTGAGCCGCTATTCACATCACCAACTACCAGCTCAGCTACCAACTGCACATTTTGTTCATCAGCACATGGAATATTCTTCAGTACAGATCACTTTCCAGGCCACAAACCAAGTCTCAACTAATTAAAAAAGTTGAAATCATATTGAGTATCTTTCTGACCACAATGCAAAAATACTAGAAATTAGTAATATGAAAAACATTGCAGACCCACATAAATGGATCCTCATGGATCAAGGGGAGAAAAATGAAGAATGAAATTTACAAA